AGGTTACATGCATGCAAAGAAAACCAAGGCATTGTATGCACAGGTGAAACGGGAACCTTATATCAACAAATGTCCAACAATTTAATGAATTCAGCGAGAACCATTACTCGTTTGTTCCATCTCATCTCTCTTAACTCTTTTTTTATTTTGAAAATAAGCAAAGAAGGCTCCTTAAACCTCAAGTTAAAAAAACCGCTCTTATTATCAGCCACAAAGCAGCTTTTAGCCGCTTTGGAAACTTTTGAATCTTCAATTGAAGAATATCTTCGATATCCTTTACCTTAACCTTCATCCGCTCTATAATGATTTGGCTGCACCAATCCTAGAATATTTCTAACTTCGTGCATTGCTTGATTCGATGTTCATTGGTATCAGACAAATCACATTTTTAACAATTAGTTGATGCAAAATGTCCAATATTGTAAAGCTTGAGTTGTTCCTTATTTGGAAAAAGATCGTTTACAAAAACGAACAAATTCTCACGGTCTCGAAGAGGCAGAAAGTTAAAACTTATGTTCTCCCATACGGTTACCCAATCAAATTGAATTTTGGTTTCTATTGTAGGTACATGATTATTCCTATCAATAAAGAAACCATACAAAAGCTTTGTTGTTTCAAGATTATAATTGCTCTTTATCAAGACTCCTTCCTCTATCCACTCCCTAGCATTTCTAGTAAGTTTTCTTCTGATTCGATGATTTATGATGTAACTTTCTTCAAAATTATCCCCATTACTATCATGGTTGTAAAAAATATTTCTCAAGATTATTGCCTTTGATCTAGCTTCTGGATCCAGAAGCCGGAGTCCTCCTTTTAAATAATACATGTACAATTGATTCCGGACTTTATCTGGCAAACCTTCGTAAAATGACTAAGCAACTGATATCACCCATTTGAAGGTGGTCCTCTTTGATAGCGGAAAGCTGCTTTTCTAATTTTCATCAAAAATGTTCAATTGATTTTGAGAGCTTACAGCACTGGGTCACTCTGCCGCAACGAATCACTAACGGATGAAATGTGCGTGGGTGTTAAGTCTATCGGAATTCTCTAGAGAATGCACTTGAAATTATTTTTAGAATAACCTCTGAAATTTCCCTTTACTTATTTTGGAGCTACCCTCAGAACCTTCTTGGAATTATCATTATGCTGTTTAGAAATTTTGCTCAGAACTTAATGATTAACTAATGATTTTTTTGCGTAAGGCAGTGTGCATACTCGGAGAGATTTAAATTACTGAATTTGATTTATTTCAAAACATTCGATTTGAAGCGGCGGTATGTTCAACTGCACCATCGGCGCCAAATATGAATATGCAAAGCAAACAGTAATAAATGTACCTGGCTCGATGGTAGCGAAGCCCACCATGCTGTAAGAACCATAAGTACCGTCTTGCTCCCCATTGCCGTGGGACTCGGATTATCCTGATATATTTTTTTCAATTGTATTAAATTAATAGAAGATTAAATTAATAGTAAACTCTAATAACTGATTATGTTGGTAAATTGAAGGGGGAATGCACAGTCAGAGGGAAATATGCCCATAATTCACATGTTGTAAATCAATGTAGTACATGGTAAAGTTGCTAAGTAGAAACTCGGTGAATTCCCCTTTGGTGGTGGCCATTTTCGCCAACACCTCACTGGGTCCCTACCCGTTAGTAATTTGCAGTTTGTTGGGTAATTTGATATCCAAATTCTGCGTTCGCCTCATTTTACAATTCGTACTGTAAATTTTTATTTCACAGAGCTCGTCAATGTAATAATAAGATTACCAAGAATTAGCAAAAAAATTACCGAAGATTTACGAACTGTGTTTACCGAAAAATCGTTGAGGAGAAGTTGATCGATGAGGTGAAGTTGATCACTAGACCGGTCAACTTTCGTTCCTCAACAATTCGTTTTTATGATAATGTACCACGGAGTAGAAGACTCATTATTTCTGAATGCCAATCAATACGCAATTTGACGTTGATGCTTCTGTAGAGCAGTGCTGCAGAGAAAATTTGAAGAGATTCAGCTTCCAAAATCCTCAAGTACTTAATGGTACATAATCAAATCTCTTGTAAAGACAAACAAACACAAAAAATGGTTACGTTTCTCGAAAACGTTGCTCTGCATGGTTTGCTCAATCTTAATTTCAAGTGTGGGCATAATTGAGAAATGAGTGTTGTTTTAACTTTCATGTTTCCCATATCTGTTCTAACACTAACATAAGAATTCTAACACAAATCCATGATCCTCAAAAAGTGGCACGGACGAATTGAACACGGTTGGAGTCAGATTCAAAAAGTTTACCCAACCCACCCTCTCCGCTCAAAATATCATACCGTCGAACTAACGCATTAACCTGTTCCTTCCACAACATACAAATCAAGATTCATGCATTCAGGCCCACCACTGAACGCCAGAGCCTCTTCAAATTCGGATGACTTTGAAGAACTTTTCTCCGAAATTTAAAAACTCTAATTATCCCCCTTTCACATCGATAACCACCCGCAGTTAATCTTTTTTTCACCTCTCGATGTCTAAACTTCTCAACCTGGAGCTGAAGAGAGTCCCTTCACAAGTTTAGTAAATACCTAGCCGTACGGGGGAATTCCCATTTCAGAATCACTGAGGCACAGAAAACCCAGCTCGGTTTTTGCTTGTGTTTTCCTGTTTACAAAACAACCCTCTTCAGTACAAAGCTGAGCTTCAGCTGAGGGAGAGGAAAAATCGGAAACAACGATGGGGTGTGGGTCGCCTTTTTACACGATGTGTCATTCAAAATAAATCAAAAGCGATTACATAACACTTTTGGCCCAGATCATTTCTCGACGAAATTCGGTTCCGCAGGTTTGAGCGGACTGGGGGATCCCTCTGGCGTGTTTTATCTGGTGAGTTTACACTTTTTTTTTTCGAACGTGGGTGGATGGTTAAACATCTTGGTCCAGGATGTTTTCATCGATGAAGAATTCAGGGAGTGAAAACAAGCAAATCAAAAAGAAAAGAGAGGAAAGCTCCAAGCAACCGAGCAAATACGCACGCAGTCAATCACTCAGTGCGGGGCACATACAGGCAAGCGTACATACATACATACATCCGGTGGTGTGAGGAGGTAGGAAGGGTTGATGGATTTGCCGAAGGGACGATTTGTGACGACGACGACGACGAAGAGATAGGATCACCACATCTCCCTCTCAATTTAACTTTGCTAATTTATTTAATGACTACCGTAGCGTAATGAAGTCATAGAGTAGGTAGTGGTGGAAAGGAGGACACAGAAAAATCAGGTTGATCGGGTGGGATTTAGTGAGGGGGAGGAGGTTGAAAAACACTCTCTCATACCCCCCGCGGTCGGTTTCGTGTTATCGGGACGCATTTCGTCATGCACCACTACGCACGAACTCACGCACAAACCCCCTTCCACACCCACACACACATACACACACACACAAACACCCACAATCACACTGACGGCATGGTTGAGCGGCCGTGGCGGTGGTGGTGCGATGTTTGGAAGAGAATAGGTCACGAGAAATATCTGAAGACGTAAAAATAGTCGCACTTTTCTTCTAGTCCTGTGAAAAAGCGAATCTGACAGCTGCTTTCGGCGAGCTTTGAATCCAACGACGACGACGTCGACGGTGGATCGACATCCGGTTTTCGACGAGGGCGACGATTTTTCCAATTAGTAAAAGTAATTAATATTTGAATTCTGGCGGTGCGATCGATGCAGGGTTTTTTTTTTTTCTTACGGGAACAGATGTTGATTAATCGTCCGAGCTGGTTAGGATGGAAGTGAGCGAAATGACGACGCAGAAGGGTGGAACTGGGCTATGGAACTTTGGAATTTGGATTCCTCTAAGGGACGGTGGACGCATTCGATGCAGTGATGGGTTCGGAAGAAGACAATTACACACTTACAGAGTTGCATACGTGCGGTGGTGGGGGGGACGGTGGGTGTTTAGGGGAGAGTGGGTCGAGTGCGGGTGCAAGGTGTGCAAGACGAGGTGATAAGGTGCTGCGCATGTGTGTTTGAAGGAAAACCCCGCCTCTGTGTGCAGCAGCAGACGAGTCCCTGTCGGAAAGTGAGCGAGCAACGACGGTCAGGATGCTGCTATCTGTATAGGTCACCGTGTCGTCGTATCGATGTGTCGTATAGATGTGTCGGTCGGTTGTCGAGGCATTGCGACGAGCCGAGCGGGAGCCGAAGCTTGGGGCCCCGAATTCGGATGCGATGAGGGTGGTTGTAGTTGTGCGTCGGTATGTGTGATGGGGCTTCGGGGGTGAAAATTATGTAATTCTTCGAACAGAATCAACAGTCTGTTGTTTCGAGTGAGGACTAGCGGGGGTGAGCGTGTACGAGCGACGGCAGGCTCGAGGGGTGATGGACATGCGCAGAGACGGACTCGCGGAAGGTTCCACTAGTGGGGGTGGAAAGGTTTCAGGTTGTTTTCGTTTTTTTTTCTCGATCTACCGGTGTCGGTACAACATAGTATTACTTTGTTGGCGCCACTTGGGCTGTGTGAGTGCATTGCTTGGAGGGGAACTGCTCGAAATTGCCGTCGTAGCTGCTCGAATAATGCAACTCGTTCACAGTTAATGCTCTCGTAGATAAGGGTCGATTGACTGTCCCCCTCGTCGCCGTACGTAGTCCTTTCAGTGCAACGTGTTTCAAGTGCTGCCATGCTCTAGCACGAGCTGATTGCTTTCCTTGCTTCGTGTTATCCTCTCGCCATGTGTATTTGTGATGGACCATCGCGGTGTGTGGGCGCATACTGTCGCATCGACACGTACACGGCTTGCGTGAGGGGACTTTTGGTGTGCTGTACTGACACGAGCATCGGCTTTTCCTAGCATGTTGTACGACTCGAAAGGAACTAGGAAAAAGAGAAGAAACGGACCGATTTCCGAAGTCGTTCGGAAGCGCCCGTTTTTCCCGGTGTGTTACTACATACTTACAAAACAACCGACGTGCGGTCCGTGCTTTAGTCTACAATTGAGTTTTGTATAGTTAAGTCGTGATCATATACACTTGTTGTTTGTTGTTATATTTAATTATCTGTCTATAAGCTGTGTCTGTGTTTTTCGGAAACCGTCACAAGAAGTGGAAGATCGCGATTTTTCAGAGGAATCTAGGTTGACACCTGATTCTTCTCGAGGGGGAGTTCAGAGAGAGTGAAAATTCTTTCCAGCCTCCTTCCGGCCCAGACAGCAACGGCAGAGTCAAAGCGTTTTTGAACTACAAGTGCAAGAGATTCGTACGCTCGGCTAGAACGTGTGTTTCAAAGCGAGTCGCGCGATCCGGCGTTCTGACAGATCGTTGCGATCCTATCAATTTGGTGATTTAAAAAAAAAGTAAATCCATCCTTCGCAGGCAGGCGGTCAGCTGTTGTACAATATGGACGATTGAGAACACGTTGATTTCCAAATTCGGCAGATGTTTGTTAAAATCAACGTTAAATCTTGAAAGTTTAGCAATTGTTCGGAACTGTCTCCTGATTGCCAGACAATCCAAAACATTGCAAATCCAGATAAACATCAACATATTGTAGAACATTGACCACGAACATTTCCGCTAACGATCAGTACGTAAACAAGTTTGATTCCCTCTCGGTCTATCCAAAGCACCAAAAGTAGGTCATTAAAATTTTAACCCTTTCGTCATCCGCAGAATTCGCAAAGCAGCAAAAACAATCCCGAAAAAAAGTGATTTTAAAAACAATTAAATTGTGCTGAGAAAAAGTGATCCGGCAGTGGGAAGTTTGTCTTTGATGAAATATCGAGCAGGCGAAAAAAAAAATCTAAAAACTTGAAGAGTGCATCGCGAGTGAAGTGAGTTTGAGCAGCGGCAAAAAAATCTATAAATCGTAAAAAGGCAAAGAAGCGAAAGGAAGTAAAAACTGTTTCTCGTCTAGTTGAGCTTAAGAAGCATCAGCGGCAGCAGTAGAAGAAAGTATCCCGTTGAAAGCGAGGAAATTTATCGCTCGTTAAAGTAGTGGGTGTTGCAACGGGCGGAAAATCTGCTTCCCAGTCAAACCGCGGCATACCGAGAAGAAGAAGAATCTCATATAAATCATAAATACATACCGCAAGGAGAAGACCAACCAACCCAAAACCCAAAACCTAAAAAAAAAAAGTTTTGTGGAAGTGTGGCGTAGTAGGGAGCCATAGCGAAAGAGAGCGAGAGCAGATCGGCGGAGAAAACGCATTCTCTTGTGTGAGTTTAATCAATTTAATAACATTCACCCCAACCACCCTCTCGAAAAACCACACTGAAAGAAGTCAGAAAAACATACACAGTTTAGTGAAAAAATAAAACTCTCGCAGTTCGAATCGTTCCTGGACGAAGACGGCGACGACGACGACGACGAATAGCAGCAAAACTAGCAAATAAAAGCATCCAAAAGAGAAGCCAAAGTTATTCCAATATTAATTTCGGTTCCTGCAAGTGAATTCAATACATTCCATATGGTTCACATGATAGAAATCGTTCGTCAAGGGAAAGTTGACTTTCCTCAAGTGATTGTAAGTTGATTTTTTCTTACGCTTACCCTTCATCTCAAGCTGACTTGATAAGACCTTTCTGTTCAACAAAATCCCATCGTACCCTTCTTGCCCCCCCACCGGGCTCCATCTTTTCTATCAGTTCGCTTATTTATTTTCCCTTGCATTTTTCTCCGAGCCTCCTTCGGCCCACTCCGGCGAAGCCTTATTCCCACCGTGGACCCCCGGCATGAAATAAGGACGAACATTTCTTTTCCCAGGAATTTCCTAACCCCTTTCCATCTCTCAGTCATATCTTCTGCGCTTTATAACACGAGCCGTATAAATTTCAATGATCGATCACAAGACCCTCCGGAGAAGGCCAGCAGCAGCCCGGAGCCGTCTGCAGGCCGCCACCGCGTTCCATACTCGTCTGGAGATGTGTTGTCTCTTAGCTTCCAAGACGTCGTCGTCGACCAAGAGAATAGGAAAAAAATAAATAAATATCTAACCCCTCGTGCTGCCGCGATGACGACGGGGACGGATGGTTGTTCGCGTGTATGTACCGAGCGAATGTGTAGCGAACGGCCACCCCCATAAAGCATTTCATTCATCCGTTTAAATTTTTATCGATTTTCATATTATTTTCTATATAAACATCTCGGCGATCCTGGCTGATGCTGCTCTCGAAGCGCGAAGCACGGGGCTGTTGGGGTTGGTTTTTTCGGTGTGTCCCATGTAAACAACCCCAGCCATCGCAAGCAAGCAGGCAGCAATCTTGGGCTGTGTGTCGCTGTGTGAAGGGGTTCTCCGGGGAAAGTGAAGTGGAACGCAACGGGTTAGTGGCTGAGCGGCGAGGGTTTATGTTTTTTTTTGCCCCGGATCGGAGGACAGTAAACGGTTCGAAAAACGGTTTATTGTGGGAAAATTTTAGCCTGAGTGCTTTATGCGAGTGATTTCGGATGGGTTTTGGTGAAATGTGTGTGGCCGAAAGTGTGGATGGAAAGCGAGTTTTCGGTACTTGAACATGATCGTCCTTAACGGTCAAGTACGGCTCGGATGGCCATTCAGTAGCTGTGCAGAGAAAAATTGTATGTAATTAAAATTTGGTGACACACAATGAACACGCGCTTTAAACTGGCAGAGAAAACCACTGAAATCCAAATTATGACATACTTTGCGGTCATGAACGCACGTTCGGTTGATGTTGTTGAATCGAATTAAAGCAAAATTATCGTTTGGATGCTTTTCAAGTAACATCAGCGGTCTTCAAGTACATTCTCATTCATATAAATATGATAAAAACCAAAGTAGGAAAGTCGATTTCACATTTGTTTGGTAATAAAATACCATTTTTCAAATATCACGTGAACATTTTGGTTCTATTTATAGGGCATTTCTCCTAACCACTTCATTCAATTTAAAACTCTGTTAGTACCGGCAACTGTTCCCTATAAACAAGAAACGTCATTAAATAGTAGAGGGAAGCTAAATTTTAAATTTTCTGTAAACAGTGCTCAAACGGTTCTGACCATCAAAATTTAGACTAATTTAGTTAAAAAGTAAGTGTACACAAACCATTTGTGTTTTTGAATGAATTTACTATGAGAAATGCAAACTTTTTATTCATATATTTTTATCAATTCACCATATTTGTTTATAATTTAATTATTTATTTATTTCGTCAAGCAATATAGACTGCAATCAATTCAATGCTGTGCATTATTCCTTTTATGTTTTAGTCGATTTTTTATTTGTTCTTTTGATATAGTGACACTAATCACTACACAGTGTAGATTCTACTGTCACATCATTCGATTGATGCATGGCCTCATCAATTTTGCGAATTTCGTTCTGTGTAATTTTTCTGCGAATAATTTCCGAGTTCTAAGATGCCGACAGGGTGTGCAAAAGTTTAATTGTGAGAGTAGTTCTGATGATTCTATGCGATGTGAAATAATGTCCTTGATGAAAAAAGCATTGAAAATTCGTGGTGTTCATTGAGTGTTTGTAAGTTGATGAGCATGCATCGTGCTTCATATGATGAAAGAGGAAATGCGGTCCAATTGAATTTTCGAAGGGCATGCAAAAGGAATTGTTTGTAATGCGTTCTATCCCGAGCAGGAGAAAATCACTTATTAATACCAAATTCAGGTATGAACATAGCAGAACTGGCAAACTAAATATGGTATTAGTGAGGCTGACATGAGAGGTGAAATATAAAAAATAATACCTCAAAAATATTCTACGAATAACGAGCTAATAAATAATTTAGTTATTACAATAACAAACGCATAACAGACGCTTTTTGAGATGCCATAATACCATAGTTTGTTATTTTAAAGGTCCTCTAATACCAATTCAATAACCCTTTTAGGTGTTATAGTCTAAAAACTGGAAGATCACATTTTGTTATTTTGGTGTTCATTTGTTTTTTTACAAAATATTTCGATAACTGAATAATATCAAAACATGGTTTTGTACCACAAGCTTATCGAAATCGGGTATCATACCACATTGAGATATTCATTTGTTATCAATTAGCTATCGGTTCCTACTTGGGATGCGTTTCTATAATGGAACTGTACGGATTTCATACAACATTTCAGAATAGGTCTTACGTATGTAAGGCATAAGAATTTAATAGTGTTAATGAAGCCCAACAACATATTTGCTTCCGTTATGATGGTTTTATTATGTTCCACAAAAGTAAGTTTAGAGTCTAGGATTACATCTAAGTTCATTACAATTTTCCATTTATCTACTTTTTATCGATGGGCCCAATCTTAAGATCCATCGAGATTTTTATCGATGGGCCCAATCTTAAGATCCATAGGCCAAGATAAGAGCCATTTCCCACAAACCAGATGCTTGTCCATGTCTTAAGATTACCAACCTACACATACAAAATTCTGAATTTTAACTATCGCGTAGTACAGAGATGAACCAGCCGATGACTCACGCTATGTTTGAAGGCACTTTTTTTGCACATGTACCTCAGTTTTTTTTCTTCACAGGAAGTTAGTATTGATCCTTACAATCAAATCTGTGAAGGTTCTAAAATAGGTCATCATGGGTTTTTTGAGAAAAAGTATTTTGAAGTATACTTAGCCGTTTATGAAGGCGTATATGGAGTGTTGACGATACAAAACTGTTACGGATCGAAACAAATGCAGCTGAACATGATTCAAAAGGGAATTAAAGTAGTCAAAAGTTGTATTGAAAAACATTGATTGATTTGCTCATGCCCTCGATCACATTTTACAAGGGAAGTGTAAAATTCTCTCTATTATACGTGTATTCTAAGACATGGAGTGGGAGTTGTGCCATCACCTGATGAGACAGCTTATTGAAGTTACATTCAAATGATGACGATGAAGTTCTTCAAACGTTCCTGATGTTCTTCGAACGTCTCTGAGTTTGGCTTTTTTTCCGGAAATTTTCAGATATTTCTTAGAGTTCACAGTACTTTCTTAATGTTATTTAATGTTCCCTGTGGCTCGCAGACCATCCTGAAGTTTGCAAAATTTTCCTCATGTTTAAAGAACTTTTTGCAGAGCATAATTGAAATTCATATAATGCTGCTATAGTTCACAGAACTCTCTTGAAATTTGTTGAACTTACCAGGAGAACATTGAACTCCCCTGAAGCTCACAAAACGTCCCTGAAGTTCACAGAATTTTCCTGAAGGGTATAGAACATCTCCTCTGAAGATAGAAGCACATCTTTCAAGTTTGAAGTATTTTTCTGAAGTTTGTAGAGCTTCCCTGAATTCAATGAACTTCTCTGAAAGTTCTTGAATTTCTATGCTTCTTTGAAGGAACTTATTTGAAGTTTGCAGAACTTTCCTAAAATTCATTAAAGTTCCTTATAGTTCGCAGAATTTACTAGAAAGTCACTGAACCTTCCTGAAAGTTTCCTTAGACCAAATATGGAAACTATAATGAAGCTCTAGCAATTCTGTAGTAATTCAAGGTGAGGGCTACCTAAACTCACTGGGCAAGAGTAGCTAATCTCATGTGAGTTTCATTCCTGTATTATCGACATTATCGGATAAACGATTTTCAAACAAATTCGTCATGATTGCCAGAATTTATTTTCGATCTCGCCGTTGAGTCAAACATTTTAAAAAATCAAAGCAAATTCTCCACCCCTCAGGATTTTTTGGTGATAAATGCCACTTTCGCCAACAACTGAGTACGGGACACACAACTTTCGGATACCTGCCATATCCTTTATTGAACTCCGGTAAAAAATCTTTCAACGATTGTCGCTACTAAAGTGACATGATTTTTTTTTACAGAGTCGCTTTTTCGAAGCACATCAAGCGAACTATCTATTTTCTTCATGAGGATTTTTAATTCTTCAAAATTTTCTACACGATACATCTATAAAAAACACTCGAAACAGGGCGAAAATCAATGCCTACTATGATTACGTGGATGTCACGGACTGTCCTGCTCGTTTAATTCTCTTCAACTCTTATTAGGGAAGAGAAATTAAATAACGTGTTTTGCTACCAACAAATATAAAATGATTTTGCGCAAAGTCTTCATAATCGATATGGAACTTAGTTACAAAGAGAATTTCTTTAATGGCATTTGGATTAATTCAATGCACTTTTGGACCTTATTTAACTGCATTTTTTTTTCAATTCATAGTCCATATACGTCTTCATAAACGGCTCTGTTAACTTCAAAACACGTTTTCTCAAAGAACCCAAGGTGAAATATATTTAAACCATCACAGATTTGATTATTATGATCAACACTAACATCCTGTGAAGAAATTCTGACGTGCATGAATGTTGCAAAAAAAGTGCTTTCAGACATAGCGTGTGGCTGAAAGTCTCTTTGATAAAGAAAGATAAGATAAAAAAGATAAGATAAGATAACTATCGCGTAAAATCTCCCCTCGTTTAATTTTGAGCTTCAGTTAGCATAAACCACGAAATCGTTTACAACATTGGTAATTTAAGCGATATTGCGCTTAAATTTACACGAAATGTCGTGTAAATTTATGCCAAACCTAGGGTTAATTTT